GCCCTGGGGCCAGACAGGAACTGGCATCCCTTGGAGGGAAAAGGCCTCAGGCCCCATTCTCCCCCCCCCACCCCACAGCCATTTTGCCAGTGTTCAACTTCCTCCCCCGGCTCATCTGTCTTGGCAACACGCTACACAGGAGAGACGGCAGACAAACACAGAAAGTACCTTTCAGTCATTTATTGTTCCGTTCCCATTTTCTCTCTCCCTCTATTTAAAGGTATGCCATTCCCCCTATAATTTGCTAAGTCAATCATGAAACAAACACTTGCCACAAGGACCATAATACGTGTTCAACTTCCTCCCCCGGCTCATCTGTCTTGGCAACACGCTACACAGGAGAGACGGCAGACAAACACAGAAAGTACCTTTCAGTCATTTATTGTTCCGTTCCCATTTTCTCTCTCCCTCTATTTAAAGGTATGCCATTCCCCCTATAATTTGCTAAGTCAATCATGAAACAAACACTTGCCACAAGGACCATAATACGTTTTGTCTGCGCTTATACCAGTGTAAAAAATATATGTATAAAAAAATCAGATGAATGATACAAAGATTGAGACTGGACAGATTTAAGCAGCCAGCTAAATTCTAGCACTGTGAGGCACGGTACGCAGGGTCCGGCGACATCGCCTTTAAATAACGGCTGCCGCCAAGACCATTGAAAAGCCCTGGATAAATATTCAAGAACCAAGCAAATGGGGGTATTATTATTATTTCCAGCTATAGGGCTGATTCCCTGATTTACCCTGTCAGACTCCAACAGGCCAGGACTGTCGATCTCCAGACCAATATTTGTATGCATGGCTGGGTGCTTTTCAGCATGGCCAGGTCTTGCACATTTCCTTTAAGATTCCAGCAGGTGAACATTTCTGACCTCCTAAAAATATTTTAATTAAAGGCAGCGTGCTGTTTAACCACTGGTGGCTTTTTGTCAGGAAGGTGCCAGAGTGCACACATTACCTTTAAGACACTTGGTAGGCAAGCGTTTTCAACAGCCAGACAAATATTTCCATTAAAGGGAAGTTGTCACCTCTTTCCCCCCTCATTTCTTCTCCCAGATTGGAGATGCAAGGTTTAAAGACTCCAGTGATCTCTGGGTCCCTGCTAATCAGGCCATCGATTTTTCATTGGCCATGCCACCTGCTGGATAAAAGATACAGAATGGTTGGTTGGCCACCATGGAGGGGAAGCAACGGGCTTTTTACAGGGCCAGGCTAAGTCACAAAGGATAATACTGTTATTAGGAGGGGGTGGTACACCTGGACGGAGCGCTAGGCAGGAGTACAGAGGAGAGAACAGAAGGAAAAAGAATAAAAGAGAAAATAAATGACGGGAAAAGAACAAAAGAACAAGCGAAAGAAAGTAAGAGAAAGAGCTAAAAGACGGAATAAATGGGAATGAAAGAGAGAGAGAAAGAAAATGAATGAATGTGACAGGAAAGAAAGTAAAAGAACAATTGAATGAGAGGAAATGAAAGAAAAGAGGACAGAATAAATAAGAAAGCAAGAGAAAGAAAGGACAAGAAACAGGAGGAGATCTGGAGACCACCCCTGCCCAGCCCTCAGCTGGCCCAGCAGCCCCCGGCATGGTGTCCTGGCTAGGCCTGGATGAAGATGAGCCGGGCGGAGTACACCAGGTCAGCTAGGTAGACCAGCAGGTTGATGGCCGTCAGCACGGCGATGGCCACTAGCTTATCCCAGTCGCAGAAGCTCTGATTTTGGCAGTAGCTGGGCCGGTTGGGTTGGCCACCTTGTTTGCGGTCGAACTTGTAGATGGGCCAGATGATGGTGGCCGTGGCGTACATGAGCACGGCCAGCAGCGTGTAGCCGCTCAAGAACTTGTTGAAGGCGCAGGGCAGCCAGCCGGTGCACTCCCCGATGCACAGCACGATGACCACCAGCGAGAGGATGAAGCAGATGCAGTAGACGGCCAGGCACCACTTCAGCGCCTCCTGGCGGTCGTAGGAAACCGGGTCGCTGATGAAGACGAAGATGATGCAGGCCACAAAGGTCTCCACCACCTTCAGCAGCCCGGGTGTGGTGGCCATGTAGCCAGTCACCTCGCCTGGCTTGGCCCGGGTTAGGGTGACCTCCGCCATGTAGGCCAGGCAGGTGAGGCAGGAGAAGACCGTGGCGGCGATGTGGTAGTCCTTCACCTGCCCGCGGACACCACTGTTCTGGATGTAGGTGACGGGGTAGATGACGGAGGCCGAGAGGCACATGAGGCTGGCGTACATGGCGAAGGTGATGGGGAAATTCCTCCAGGAGACGGGTATGCGGTGCTGGAGGCCAGCGAACTCCACCACCAGCACCAGCAGCGTCACGGCGAAGCAGAAGCACCAGCAGAACATGCACCAGTCGCCATTGCGGCCATCCCAGCCCCCCCGGTGCACCACCAGGCTGAAGGTGACACAGGCGAAGAGCAGCTCCAGCAGGCGGATGATGCCCACCTGCGAGGTGAGGGCCTGCGTGTTGCCCACGGATTTGACGCGCTGGACTGGCATGGTGGAGTCACCTGGGGAGACGGAGGGGGGAGGCATCAGGCCATGGCAGGGTGGGAGGGGAGCTGGGCAGCAGGGACAGACAGACACAAACGGACAGCAGGGCCCAACTTGTCCAGCAGGGGGTGTCAGACACATGCAGAGCCGAGCCCCTCCAGCAGGGGGCAGCAGGGATGCACACACACAAAATGGGGGGGGCGTTTCCCTCATTAGCTCCTGCTCCCCTCTCAAAGGGCCCCGCACTCCCACATCTGATCAATGTCCCAAGGGCAGCACCCCTCCCCCCCAGCCCGAGCCAACTAGTTTTTCTCCACCAGTGGCAAGAGTACCTTTAGGGG